CCTCTGCCTAGAATCCCCCAGTGAGGAGCTAGGGTGTGGCTCAGTGGCAGAGCCCCTGCCTAGATTACATTAGTGAAGGACTGAGGGAATGGCCTAGAACTCATCTCTAATCCGAGAGAGAGAGAGAGAGAGAGAGAGAGAGAGAGAGAGAGAGAGAGAGAGGAACAAAAGAGAGGGCAACATGTTCTTATTGTGCTGGGTTTTTTGGGTTTTGGTGTTTTGAGACAGGGTTTCTCTGTGTAACAGCCCTGGATGTCCTGGAACTAGTTCTTGTAGGCCAGGCTGGCCTCTAACTCACAGAGATCCGCACATCTCGGCCTTCTAGTGCTGGGCTTAAGGACATCACCACCACCACCTGGCTCACATATGTATTTTTTAGGACTTTTTTAAATGTGTATAAGTCTTTTGTCTGCATATAGGTATACACAGCATGTGTGTTCAGTGTCCACGGAGGTCAGAAGAGGGTGTCAGATCTCCAGGAACTGGAGTTACAGCCAGTGTGAGCCACCATGTGGGTGCTGGGAACTGAACTCAGGTTCTCTGCAAGAGCAGTCAATGCTCTTACCCACTGATCCCTCCAGTCCTCTGAAGGACTTGTTAGGATCTTCTAACTTGAAGCTGACTAAGCAGATCAGAAGAGAGGAAACAGAAAGCAAGGGGTGGGGGAGAAGAGGAGGAGGAAGGGATATAGAGAGCCACTCTTCTGGGAGTGACCACGGGGACACAGGACCTTGAGTGAGCCTCACTGTCTGTCCTCTGTAGCCCAGGCTGGCCTTGAGTCTATCCTCCTGTCTCAGGCCTGCAGTGGTACCACAGACAGCTCTCATCCCCCTTAGGAGGCAGAAGGAACCACCAGGTTCCCTGCCACTGACGCTTACAGTCTTTGGCCTCACCAATCACCCCGGACATCCTTTGCTGTTAGAATTCCCAGGCTCATTTGCAGAAGGGAAAGGAAAGTTCATAAAATTTGATCTGACCCAGAGTTCCCAGTGCGGAGACTTGGACTGCCGCCCATAGCTGCCTGACTCTGTCCACCACAATGAGACACAAGCTAGGAAAAGCCCATCTGTCTCAGCTTTGAGGCCAAAGGAAACTTGGGGTGGACAACGGGGAAGCACAAGGAAGTCAGTAGACTGAAGAATCAGGGAGACCCGAGAGCCTTGTTCTGAGAATAAACTAGATCCACAGAAGATACCGGTCAGAAAACAGAGAGGACCTGATGGGGGTGGGGGTGGTGGCGGTGGGGATGTGGTGAGGGGAGAGCCAGGAAGTAGGGACAGAAAAATCTGTGGAAGTCAGAATAGATCAGATCTCCGGGGAGAGAGCAGAGCAGCAGCCCCCCCTGCTTCGGGTTTGAGAGGAAATACTGCTCAATTACCGACCTGCCTCCCTCTCTGGCCATGTGACCCATGTTGGTGTAACAGTTTCCCACCAACCAGGTTCTTTATACTTTTTAACGCCTCCGCCCTTTTCTGTAGGGCTGCAGCGATTGCTAAAACTCTCTTGGCCTCTGGCGCCAGAAACCCCATGAGGAGCCAGCCCTCTATCAGAAGCCAGGCAAGGCAAGCCAGCTTAGGGTGTGCACTCAGCAGCCAGACGCTGGAGCTGGCATTTGAGGAGCAGGTGTGGGGTGAGGAAGGGGCTGGAGGACGTCTGTCGGAACAAAAAGTAATCACCAGTGCCAAACATTGGGGAGGGGGACAGGCAGAGTGAGGAACCTCAGACCTGGGAATGAAGAAGAAATTGGGAAGGGCCTATGAGTTAGCAAGGGTTACCAACCAAGTGGGAGCAGAGCCACCTGTGTCGAGGTGGCGTCCAGCAGGACAACAGCAGACACACCAGGCTCGGGGGCCACCTGCGCTCGCTGGGCTTCCGTGAATGCGTGCCTAAAACTTGGGGGAACAGGTCACAGAGCAACGTGCCGTCTCAGTCTTCCTCCTTGGCTACAGTAGATCCCCTTTTTGATAGGATCTACAGCACTGGACCAGAGGAGAACCAGGAGAAAGAGACCCTGGAATGGTCTCAAGGAGGTAAGGCGCTGGGAGGCGGGGCAGAGGGCTGGGCACCTGGAGATGAGGACAGCCAGTCCAGGTTTGGCAGAGGTACCTTCTGGAAGTTTCTTGTTCCCCCACCCCCGCCTCAAGACACACCTTCCTGTCCTCTCCCAGTTTCTCTGCGTACCTTCTTCTTCCACCAGGTTTTGCCACCAGGCTTTGGCTCCCAGCCACAGCCAGCTGTGAGAAAGGGATCTGACTACGGCCACTTCCTATTATCTGTGAAGCTAAATAGGAAAAGGGCCCAGGGAAAGCAGAGGGGGAATTCCCGTGGAAAGTCAAGTTGGTCTCCCCCAGAGACACAGGATGGCAAACGTAATAACTGCAGCTTAATATCCCGCCCAAGGCTAAGTCAATAATTGCTCTGGGCAGTTCTGGCAGGTGGCTCAGGCAAGCGGTGGTGAGGAGCAGACCGCTTTGGCCTGGGAACCAGGGAGGATGTGAACAGCCTGAGCCAGCGGAAAAGAGGGTCTGCAGGCTGTGAGTGAAGGGGCGGGGAGTTCCTGATCCCTTTTCCATCTTCCAGAATGATCCCGGACTGGCACAGCTCCTTGATCCTCACGGCCTACATCCTCATCTTCCTCACTGGGCTCCCTGCCAACCTGCTGGCCCTGCGGGCCTTCGTGAGCCGGGTCCGCCAGCCCCAGCCAGCTCCCGTGCACATCCTCCTGCTGAATCTGACCCTGGCGGACTTGCTCCTTTTGCTGCTACTGCCCTTCCGGATCGTGGAAGCAGCGTCTAACTTTCGCTGGTACCTGCCAAAGATCGTGTGCGCGCTCACGGGCTTCGGCTTCTACAGCAGCATCTACTGCAGCACGTGGCTGCTGGCGGGCATCAGCATGGAACGCTACCTGGGAGTGGCCTTCCCCGTGCAGTACAAGCTATCCCGCCGGCCCCTGTACGGAGTGATCGCCGCTCTGGTGGCCTGGATCATGTCCTTCGGGCACTGCACCATCGTCATCATTGTTCAGTACCTGAACTCAACCGAGCCGGTGGGCACTGAGAACCAAATAACGTGCTATGAGAACTTCACCCAAGAGCAGCTGGACGTGGTGCTGCCTGTGAGGCTGGAGCTGTGCCTGGTCCTCTTCTTCGTCCCTATGGTAGTCACCATCTTCTGCTACTGGCGCTTCGTGTGGATCATGCTCACACAGCCCCATGTAGGGGCTCAGAGGAGACGCCGAGCGGTCGGCCTGGCTGTGGTGACGCTTCTTAATTTTCTACTGTGCTTCGGACCTTACAACGTGTCCCACTTGGTGGGGTTCTACCTGCGGCGGAGCCCTCCGTGGCGAGTGGAGGCTGTGGTATTCAGCTCCCTCAATGCCAGCCTGGACCCGCTGCTCTTCTATTTTTCTTCCTCCGTGGTGCGCAGAGCTTTCGGAAAAAGTTTGCTAGTGTTCCGCAACCCCGGCTCCTCGGTGCTGGGCAGAGGAGCCAAAGAGACAGTGGAGGGGACCAGGATGGACAGGGGTGCGAGTCAAACAGAGGGGGTCCCGAGCTCCGATTTCGTCACTGAGTAGAGTTCCCAGAACCTTCTCCAGTCTCTGGTCACCCAGAAGTTGGGCTGGTTAGCAGAGCACCTGGAACTTGGTGAAAGATTGAAAACTAAAAAAGAAAGACATTCCCCAACCACGCTCCACTACCCTCTCAGCTTGGCATAACTGCTTGACTGGATTTTCCTGCTCCAGGATACAAGAAGAAATGGCTGCAGCCTTAAATAGGGCCAGGGCCTCAGAAGCGAGGTGGCTAATAGGAGGGCATTTTGAAAAGTAATCTTCCTTCAAGCTTGGAAACGCCATCCAGAGACAGTGGTCTGGCTGATGATGCCGCAAAGAAGCCAATGAGAAACGATTGGGGGAAACCTGTGGGAAGAAAAAAAAAAAGCCCCGAAAAGCTCTAAGCCTCAGGAGGGACTGGCAGGGAGGACAGGGGCCGCGTCTCTGGTGAGCTTCGTCCCTCTGTATCCCTTCGAGCTGTCCCTTTATGAGTGTGCTCTGTTGATTTTCGCATTTTGGCCTTGTCTCCACTGTTGCACGTCTGTCCCCAGTCTCATCCCACCCAGGCTAGGGTGTGTCTTGGTGCCGTCAGTCTAACGTAGACACTGACCTGCAGGGGAGGGCAGAAAACCCAGTCTGGTTTGGCAGGTTGAAAATAAAGATGATGACCGCCTAAGGCAGATGATCATAGCTTTTGACACTCGTCTGTCTGACCCAGGGAAGGAGGGATGCAGCCCGGTACCACAGCAGAGGGAGAAGGGATGCAGCGCCCCCCCCCCCAAGACACTTTCAAATGATGACGTTCTGAGGGCAAAGAGAGAGAGGAGGCTAATGGGATCCTGTTTAGCCTAGTGGCTGGGGAGGTTGGACTTCCTCCTGGATGTGGGTGGGTCCCACCTGGGGCCACTGATCCATCAGCGAATTTAGAATGCATTCTATCCTCCTCAGAACCCCCTTGCTCTCTTGTATCAAGCCCCTCCCCCCTGCCCTCGGACTCTAGATCACAGCAGGCCTTTACCTGCCCTGTGCCCTCTGTCCCTTCCTGATCCCTCCTGCCTAACTCCTTTCTCCACCAGGACCCCAGTGACCTTTGTACCCTGTGCAATTAACACTCCACATGCCTAGAGCTGCTGAGGCTGAGACAGGAGGATTGTGAATTTGAGGCTAGTCTGGACTACAGAGTTAGACCCTGTCTTTCAAAAGCAAGAAACAAACTTAAAAACACTAGAAAAAAGATTGTTTTGAGACAAGGTCTCCTACAGGTGGCTGGGTTTGGCTTTGCACACCTCACGTACTGAGAGGGACCTTGAACTCTTTGTCCTCCTGTCCCCCTGCCATCCCCCAGAGTGTAGAATACAGCCATGTTCCGCCTTGACTGTCCTAGAAATAAGGTATTAAACCCAAGGGCCAATAAAATTGGTTCAGTGGGTAAAAGCGCTTGCTGCACAAGCCCGATGACCTGATTTTGATTCTCGGAACAAACAAAAGTAGGATGTGGTAGCATGTAGCCATAATCCCTGCACCTCTACAGCAAAGGAGGTGGAGACAGGAGCCAGCTAGCCTGGGCTACAAAGCATGGCAGAAACAAGAGAGATCTACCTGACCTGAACAAGGTCGAAGGAGACTCCAAAGCTGTTCCCCAACCTCCACATATATGCTCTGTGACTCAAGTGCACCCACACACATGCATACATATACATACACATGCACACACAGTAAACAAATTGAAATAATTATTTCTATTTGAGACAGGGTCTCATTGTGTAGCCTTGGCCAGTTATGAGCTCACTATGTAGACCAGGCTGGCCTTGAATTTACAGAAATACACTTGAGGGCTGGGATTAAAGCATGCCTGGTTAAAAGATGAAAATAATTTAAAAGCTAACTGTAGGGGCATGTGGCAGGAGAGAAAACTTGGGTAGAGGTCTGGCTTACAGTGACTCTGTGATCCAGGGCAGCTTGCAATCAAGCTCAATCGGGAGCTGCCCAGTGGGTCGCTTGTTACCACACTTGTTACCACAGCTGATGACCTGAGTGGGATCCCCAGAACCCACATGGTGGATGGGAAGAAGCCACTCCTGCAGGTTGTTCCCTGACCTCTGCATGTGTACCTTGGAGTGTGTGTACACAGTCAAGTGCACACAAAAGCATACAAAATAAATAAATCAGTATTAAATAATTCTAAAGCTCCTTTGATTGAATAGCATTAAGAGAAAGAATTGAACTAAGTTGGCAAGAGCACCAGCCCACTTAGGGTTGATTGGCAGCCTACTCAGAACTGAGCCATAGCACTGTAAACACACTAACTCAGGGATTCAAGTGCTGGAAAATCAGACAGAGTGTTTTAGACTTAAAACCACGCAACAAGGCTCAGGTCACAGTTCAGTAGGTAAATAGCACCATCTGCAAAAGCCCAGGAGTTGCCTCCTAGAACTCACATGAGAAGGCCAGCTGTGTGACACACATCTGCAATCCCAGCACTCCTGTGGAGAGATGCCTGGCAGAGACTGCCTGGAAGGAGTGGCTGGTCTGCGTATACCACCCGAGAGAGCCTGCCTGGACCAGGCGGACGGTGAGCACGGACTCCTGAAGGTTGTCCTCCGACTGCCTCATGCACTTTGGCACACATCTATCCCTCCTCCTAAGGCCTCAAAGACAAATGGAGGCACAATCCTGCTCGAGTTCACTCTGGGGAGCCAACAAGTTTATTGGGCTTCCTTGCAGAGCATAGGTGAGGGGTCACCTACAGGGGTGTGGGTGCTGCTCTCCCCAACAGGCTGCCCCTGAGAAGCCTTTACCCAGTAGTCACATGGATGGAGACTCCATCCCCTCACTGCCCCAAAGCCTAGCCCCCCATAAGACCTCACACAGTTCAGGCACAGTTGCAGGAAGCAGGTGACAGGGATAGGCTGGATGCTAAGGTGAGGGTCAAGGGACACTCCCAACCCCCCAGGAAGGGTATGAACGGTCAAGAAGGCCAGCTGGCCTGATCCTTTTGCAAGGGTGTGCAGCTGACTCCTCAAGGTGGGGATTGCCTGCCTCAGGTTTGTCTCTCATGACACCCGTATCTCCACACAGTGTGTCAATGTGTAGAATCTAATGGCTGCATAGCAGAAGGATTAAAGTAAATAATAGTGAAAGCTCATGATGACCATGACTGGCATTAACTGCCAGGCACTATAATAGAGCAAGAGCTGGAGACGGTTAGATAACATCCCAAGATCAAGAGTTCAAAACCTAGGCCTCATTCTACAATGCCTACCCTTTTCACAGAAGGAAATAGAGCACTCTAGCTATTTGGCTGGGACACAATATGACCTGTTTTTATAGAAGACGTCATTCGGTGTGGCCCCACAAGGGAAGAGCAAAGAGCATGACAAGAAGTCATGTTCCCAGCAGCTGGGGATGTTCAAACACATTAACTGCTCCAGCAAGACAGTCACTCCCAGTTTCTGCGAATGTTGGAGGAAGAGACAGCAAATGCACACACACACACACACACACACACACACACACACACACACCCAAGGACATTGAGTAAGCAGACTTCTGATAAGCGCTGAGCCGACTAACGGCTGGATCTACAAACCTTGCCGTCCCTGGGTCTTCAGCAGCCACAGTCACATCTTGCTAACTGTGAGCTGCTTTTCTGTTGCTATGACAAAACACCAGACAAAAACAACTTAAGAGCGGCTGGAGAGACGGCTCAGTGGTTAAGGGCACTGACTGCTCTTCCAGAGGACTGCTCTTCCCAGGTTCAATTCCCAGCACCCACTTGGCAGCTCACAACTGTCATCCGGCACCCTCACACAGACATGAATGCAGGCAAAACATCCATGCACAGAAAAATAAGAAATAAAAAAGCAGCTTCACAAAGGAAGACAGCCTCGGAAGACAGCTCAGTGGTGGGAGTTCCTGCTGTGCAAGCATGGGGACCTGAGTTTGAATCCCCAGCAGAAGCATAAGATTCCAGGCATAGCTGAGTGTGCGTGTAACCCAGCATGAAAAGGCAGAGACAAGCAGAGCCTGAGAGTTCACTGGCCATGCAGCCTAACCAAAATGATGGGCTTCCGGTTCAATGAGAGTCTCTGTCTCTCCTCTGGCTTCTGTGTACATGCACACTATCCTCATGTGCATATATATCACAAACATAACACACATACTATATACACACCCTCAGAAATGGTTTACACTTTGGCTCACAAGGGGATTCAGTCCATCATTGCAAAGATGCACAGAAGTGTGAGCATGAAGTGACCGGTCATAGTGCATCCTTAGTCAGGAAGCAGAGAGAGATGAATGGAGGCGCTTAGCTCGTTTTCTCCTTTTTATTCAGCCCAGCATCCCTCCATCCACATTCACAGTGGGTCTTCCCTCTTTTGCTAACTCATAGTAGAAACACAGACACTCCCAGTCAGGTTGGCAAGGAAACTTGACCATCACACGAATCGTGTACAAAATGTAGTCACTTTGCTTGCAGTGAGGTTAAAGGAAAATTAAAGTATGTAAGTCTGAGAATGTCAGTGAGAAACTGTAGATACTTGCTTGCCAGTAATTGACCTTTATGATCACCTCCAGTATCATCAGCCCAAGATCGCTGGAAAATAGGGATTTATTTGTGCAACAAGTATGGATCAATTATCTCAAAAATACCTTGTAGCTTAACTATAAACCAGTCATGGTAGCCTGTATCTGTAACTCCAGGACTCGGGAGGAAGCCAGGGCAGGGACTTGGGTATGGCTCCATGGGTCAGGGCTTATGCAAGCCTAAGGACCTGATTCTAGATCCCCACAACCCACATAATAGCTGGGTGTGATAGCTCACATCTGTAACTCCACCACCAGAAAGGGGGTCAGTCTGGCCAAAACAACAAACTTCAGGTTTAGTGGAAGACCACATCTCAGAAACTAAAGTGGGGGCTGGAGACATGCCTCAGTAATTAAGAACAATGACCACTCTTCACAGCACCCGCATGCTGGCTCACAATAGCTGGAAAGTTCAGTTCTAGGGATCCAATGCCTTTTTCTGGTTTCTGTGGACACTGCACACACGTGCTGCACAAATAGATATACATGCGGCAGGTCAAACACCCACACACATCAAAGAATAATTCTTTTAAATAAAAAGAAAGCTAATGTGGAGACCCACTGAGGGGAACACTCAGGGACCTCTAGGCTATATCCTACTCACATGTGTGACAGTGTTCCCACACACAGATTTAAAAAAAAAAAAGAACAGAGAGAGAAAAAATGCATTTGCTACAGTGAATAGCTTAGAGGCACAGCACTGGGCCTTGGCTGTTCCCTTCTCTACTCATGGGGCTCTCTAGGAGATAGCTGTGGCCACCTGCCACAAGGAAAGAAAATCACACAGCACACACAACCCAAGAAAAGTCAAAACTCACAATCAGAGTCAAGTTTCTACTAACTAACTGTATTGCTTTCACATCGACTTTGTAACAGTTTTTTTAAAAAAAATTGATTTAAGTCATCTCGGAGCAGGGATCTTCATAGAAGCTGGACACTTCAGTGAAGGACAGAGATCCTGAGGACACAAGAAACAAGGCACCTGTGCTATCAGGCGGCTTCTGAAGTCGTGTAGGAAAGTAGTTAACCCCATTCAAACCCGGGAGAAATGGTGGCTCAGTGGCTGAGAGCACATACTGCTCTTGCAGAAGACCAGGTTCA